GCCGCCGTCGGGGCCGCTCGCAGCCAGTCGGCCCGGTGCGGTGGCCTGAGGGAGCGCGGAGCCGAGGAGCGGGCGCGGCCGCAGAAGGGTCGGATTCGGGAGGAGTCAGCGCTGCCCTTGGGGGGGACAGTGCGACGTCCCTGGATGCGGGGTGGGGGCGTGGGGACGGCCGGAGCCGCGGGAGACCCGTACCACCGCAGCCCTACCCACTTCTTCGCTTGCCAGTGGCTGGAGCTGGGCAGCAGTGACAGACTGTAAAGGGCTTGACCTCCGCGCCGAGATCTTGGGTTTTGAACAGAGGAATGCAGTAGCCTCGTTAAAAGCCGTAAGAGCCGGGCGTAGGTGGCCCAGGCCCGTAATCCTAGCTACTCAGGAAGCTGACGCCTGACGATCACAGCTCAAAGCCCGCCTGGGCAGAGAAGTGCTGCCGTGACTCAGGTGGTAGAGCCTTGAGCAAAAGAACACTCGCCCTTAGTTCAAGTCTCAGACCTGGGACACGCACCTGCAGAGCCATATGAATGTAGTTAGGTAAGCTGGAAAAGAGAAGAGAGAAAAATAGTTATGTAATCCAGGCCCTGCACACACTGGCAGCGATGTGTTTACTCCTGGGCACTACCAACTAACAGGGGTACAGAATCACTTCTGTGAGTCCAGGAGCAGGATGGAAAGGCTGTAAACATTGAGACTTGAAATAACTGAGGAAATTGGTTATGAAAGATTAGTTAGGGGCTGGGAAGGTGGCTCAGTGGTAGAGCGCTTGCCTTGCATGCATGAGGCCCTGGGTTCGATTCCTCAGCACCACATAAGCAAAAAGAAAAAAGCCAGAAGTGGCGCTGTGGCTCAAGTGGTAGAGCGCTAGCCTTGAGCTGAAGAGCTGAGGAACAGTGCCCAGGCCCAGAGTTCAGGCCCCACAACCGGACCCCCCCCCTCCCAAAAAAGAAAGATCAGTTATGCTCTGATTTTAGCAATAGAATAGTGTGAAGGATACCACTTGAGCCACAGCTCCACTTCCAGCTTTTTTTGGTAGAGTGGAGGAAGTGTCTCAGAGATTTTCCTGCCTTGGCTGGTTTCAAACAACAGTCCTCAGATCTTAGCCGCCTAACTAGCAAGGATTTACAGGTGTGAAGTACTGGTGCCTGGCTAAGACTCTTAATATTCAAGAATTACTTGCTAATGAGAGAGGGAAATCAGGAAGCTCTTGGTTGCTATTGTCAGGCTTCCTGGGCATCTGCTCTGTGCTAATATGTGGTAAATACGAGTTGGGAAGATGGTTTGTACATCACCCAGAGTGTCCCAAAGGAGATGGTGCTTAACTTCTGGGACCAGTGTAATGCCTTGGCCTCAGGACTTCTGCCTTTAAGTCCCTCCTCTGATGTTCACCTGGCCAGTTCCTTAGGATCTTCCAGGTTGTTCAGATGTCACTTCCTCTTTCAATATTAAAACTCATTTTGTGTGTCCTGCCATGCTTCCTTTCTCTCCACAGCGCTTGCTTCACATGATATATTATTTACTTGCTTTGTTGCACCATGTGCATTGTCTAGCTGCTTAGTGTGTACAGACAAATGCACGTGCATGCACACACACGATTTTATTACTTTAGTGAATGTTTAGTATTCCGTAAGTTGGTTGTGTCTCTTTATATATATATATATATATATATATATACATATATATGTACATGTAAATATGTATAGAGAGATATAGACATGTAGATATTTATATCTATATAGATATTGGTAAGAATATGTATATAAATAGATATGTAGATATCAATATATAGAGATATGTCAGTATATATAAATATTTGTTATAGATATGTTTATATATACGTAGATTTATCTATCTCTACCTGTATACATATCTTCCCCCTAAGGTTTGAGCTCAAGACTTGAACTTGCTAGGGAGCACTTCACCACTTGAGCCATGCTGCCAGCCCTTTTTACCAATAGGTAAATGTTAGATATGGTCTTAATAATTTTTTGCCCAGGGCCAGCCTCCCGCCTATGCATGCTGGGAGTAGGGGTGTGAACCATAATGCCTGGCTTCTTTGTTGAGAGTGAATCCTGATAACTTTTATGCCCAGAGAGGCCTGGAGCCATGAACTTCCTGATTCCTGCCTCCTAAGTAGCTGGAATTGCAGACATGAGCTATCATACCTGGCCAGAAACTGTTTTTTTTTTCATTTTTAATTATTTTAATCAAGTAATGTAGCTGTTTGAAACAAATTTTAAGACAATAGAACAAAGTTAAGGATTACTCTATTAGGAGAACCTCTAAATCCAGATTGTGTGAATTTGAATTCCACTGAAATTTGGCACTAGACTTAACATTAGTTGAAGCCCAAACCCTTTCCTTAGAGAAGCTCTGAAAATTTCAACCAACAGACTCTCAATAGCTTGCCACCAGGCAGTTCCTAAGGGTGATTACTCTGTCCTGTACTAACACCGAGCGTCAACGTTTCTCAATTTGATGCTTGAAAAGTATATTCTTGTGAATAGTTTTTGTTTGCTTTTTGTAGCTATGAATAACATTTTCATGTGGCTGTTGTTATATTTAATAATTTCTAAATAAGCTGTCAATCCGTACAGGTTGTATAAAAAGGTCAAATATATTGACCTTTTTTATTTATTTATTTTCGCTGGTCGTGGGGCCTGAACTCTGGGTCTGGGCGCTGTCCCTCAGCTCTTCAGCTCAAGGCTAACGCTCTACCACTTGAGCCACAGCACCACCTCTGGCTTATTTTGCTTATGTGGTGCTGAGGAATCGAACCCAGGGACTCATGCATCCAAGACAAGCACTCTACCACTGAGCCACCTTCCCAACACTAGTTTGTTTTTTTAATAGTGTTCCTCTGCCCTCTTTTGGTAATTTTTATTTTGTGGGGAGATGATTTTGACTTCAGTGTATAGAATAGATGGGGGTGGTAGGATGGGCCAGGAGGAGGTGTCTTGTGTGTGGATGAGAGGTGTGAGCATGTCATGTGAGAGGTGAAAGCATGTTGTGTGGGTGAGGGGTGTGAATATGTCGTGTGGGTGAGGTATGAACATATTGTGTAGGTAAGGTGTGAACATGTGTGGATGAGAGGCGTGAGTATGTGTGGGTGAGGTGTGAACGTGTGGATGAGAGGCATGAGCATGTCGTGTGGGTGAGGTGTGAACATGTGTGGATGAGAGGCGTGAGCATGTCGTGTGGATGAGAGGCGTGAGGATGTGATTGAGCTGGGGAGGGAATGGATCTCCTGTCCAGAGAGGCAGGGCGTTAGAGTCTGTGGGTGTGGTTTTCAGGAAGGAGGAAGGCACGAAGGTGGTGCTCATGTTTGCAGTGCACTGTTGGGTAGTAGGCGTTCCTCGTGTGGGATGCGGTGTTAGACTTCTGCTGTAGGTCTGTTAGCTTTCAGCTGCCTTCACAATATCTGTCTGGATGTGTAGAGCAGGGCTTAGCTCAGGAGACTGGGCCACCCTGTCACCCAGCTTCCCTCTCTTCTCTGACATCCATTCTTCTATCTATCTATCTATCCTCATATCCATCCATCCATCCATTTAACTGCTTATCCATCCATTCATCCATCTTTTCACTCATTAGTCCACCCACGTTGCATCCATCCATTTAACCATCCATTCCCCACCTACCTGTATATCTGCCTATTCATCCAGTTTTCATTGAACACAGCACACTTGTTTAGTCCTGAGGGTTTAGCAGTGCACAGATAGAGACACTATACCAGTTTGTAGGGAGCTAGCATAGGGTAAGAAGGAGTCAGCTCATTATAAACAGATTAGCAGATTAAAAAGGTGTCCAAGTTAAGCTAGGCCTCAGTGGCTCACGCCTGTAATCCTAGGTATTCCAGAGGTTGAAGACTGAGGTTCAAAGCTAGCCAGGGCAGAAAAAGACTGTGAGACTCTTATCTCTAATTAGCCACCCAAAAAAGGCAGAAGTATAGCTGTGGCTCAAGTGGTAGAGCCTTGTGCCCCCAAAAGATGGGTTTTTATTTTTTAAGGTTTTTTTTTTTAAATCATAGAAGAGGTCTCTTGATAATTTTTACCTGTAGTTGCTAATGTCTACAGTAACCAGAATGGTCATGCTGTGTTGTGTGGTGTGTTTTTCAGGCACAGATTCATACCAGCGTACAGTGCAAGCTGCAGTATGGACATTTGTCCTACTTACTTGGTGACAGGACAAGCAAAAGACTGACAGAGTACAGCAGAGTGATCACTGTAGATGGCAACATATGCTCGGGGAAAGGCAAGCTCGCGAAGGACATCGCGGATATTCTAGGTATGGATCCGTGGCACGCAGACGTCATCTGTCCCTCACGTACATGCTCGCTCATCCCGCCTTGAATTTACTTTGTAGTGACTAATAGGCATTTCACATTTTTCAGTGCTTAAAAGCTGTTTTTGATATTAAATCTATGCTAATGGTCAGTTTGGTAGGCATTGAAAGCAGACCTCTTCTGTGAGCACCATGATGTGGACTGTGGCAGCCTCCACACGGACAGAGCTACAACTTAGAACTGCTTCTGACTTCTGCGCTGAGGCTTGTCCACCAGGCCTTTCTTTGGCATTTGATAGCAGCTGTGCGCTTACACAGCGGGGTTCCAGAAGAGGTCCTGGGAGAAACCACACTGGAGTGCAGTGTGACCTGCAGTGCTCACAAGCTTCCACTGTGTTGCTTTAGGTGCCTCGCGTGCTCCCTTTCCATGCCATGACATGTGGGCAGGGGTGCTGGTGGGAGGGTGGCTTTCTCAGCCCTAGCAGTGGCATCCGGATAGGTTTTGTGTCTTGGTTAGTCTGTGCTGCTCAATAGTGGGAGCAGAGGATGGCTCCTGCTTCATCCTAGTATTTCTCTTTTCAGGCATGAAGCACTTCCCTGAAGCAGGGATACATTATTCAGACAGTACCACAGGGGACGGGCGGCCCCTGGACCTGGAGATGGCTGGCAGCTGTAGCCTGGAGAAATTTTATGATGACCCAAGAAGCACTGATGGCAACAGCTACCGCCTACAGTCCTGGCTGTATGCCAACCGGCTCCTGCAGTACGCAGACGCCCTGGAGCACCTGCTGAGCACAGGTCAGTGTCCTTGGCCAGGGGGTGGGCACATCGGGCACATCAGCCACTCCCAAGTAGCCAGTAAGTAGCGTTTTTCTGTCAGTTTTCCTGGAGGTAAATTTTGTTTCTGGTAAGATTATAGATTCCTGAGGTCCATTCTATCATTGCTTCAGAATAATGTTAAGGAGGAATTGTTTTACTTTTATGTGTGCACTGGAGTGAGCTTTATGGACTGTATGTAATTTTTATGCCACTGCTTGAAGCACAGAAGTGAAATGTGTAAAAGGACGGAGAAAAGAGAACTTGTAAGTGACTGGGAGGAAGCAGTATCTCATGAAGATGGAGAGTGTGTGCCTTACAGAGCTGAGATGGCAACAGAACAGGCTGCTTCTGGAAGTCTGATGGTCAGGATAGAAGCTAGGCCATGAAAAGATTGGCAGAGGGAGGCAAAATACTCAGGGCTCTCGGGACCCTTACAGTAAGGGAACATGTGTCCCTAGACACATCTTGGTGAGGAAGAGGTGGTCAGGGGCTGTGTATTTGGATAGTCTGGGAGCCAGGCATTAGGAGTCAGTTAGGAGGTGAAGAGGGGGAGCTGAAAGAGCACGTGTAGATAAGGGTCCACCCAGGGACTGTTTCACAGTTCTGGGAAGCAGAAGCAGGTGTAAATTTAGGACCTGATTCCCAAACATCCTGAGAACTGAAAACAGATGTGCTGCTGGTTCTGGGCGAGAGCCACTGTGTTGTGTTGGTTGAGTCATAGGTGGGAGCTGTTGTGTATGTGCTGGTGGTTGGTGGCGGTAGGAGCCGTGGTGTGTATGTATGTGCCGGTAGTCAGTGGCAGTAGGAGCCGTGGTGTGTATGTGCTGGTGGTTTGGTGGTGATTGGAGCCGTGGTATGGGGGTACTGGAGAGAGGTACTATGTGTCTCTGTGTCTGTGAGGCAGTGGTTGCTGCATGGCTGTCAGCCCAGCAGTCATAGTGATTTTGAGGAGTTGGAGCTGAGAACAAGACCCCTGGATAACGAAGGAGCAGACTGTCAGTAACATGGTTGGGACTCACGGCCTCCTACGCCATTCTCTTCCCATATATGAGTACCTGTCCACATAGTGTGGGGCCATGCGCCTGTATCAGACTGTTGTACCAATCACGCTGTTACCTTGCCTTTCTAACATTTACTAGTGACTTTCTTCATGAGAGTGAGACTCATCTTGGTTAGTAATGCTCTGAGTATGAGCTCCCTGACGTATGCATAATCTCCTTGACGTGTGCATGTGCTCCTGACGTATGCGTGAGCTCCCTGATGTGTGCATGTGCTCCTGACGTACGCATGTGCTCCTGACGTACGCGTGAGCTCCCTGATGTGTGCATGTGCTCCTGACGTATGCGTGAGCTCCCTGATGTGTGCATGTGCTCCTGATGTACGCATGTGCTCCTGACGTACGCATATGCTCCTGACGTACGCGTGTGCTCCTGACGTACGCGTGTGCTCCTGACGTACGCGTGAGCTCCCTGATGTGTGCATGTGCTCCTGACATACGCGTGAGCTCCCTGATGTGTGCATGTGCTCCTGACATAGTATGCGTGAGCTCCCTGATGTGTGCATGTGCTCCTGACGTACGCATGTGCTCCTGACGTACGCGTGAGCTCCCTGATGTGTGCATGTGCTCCTGACGTATGCGTGAGCTCCCTGATGTGTGCATGTGCTCCTGATGTACGCATGTGCTCCTGACGTACGCATATGCTCCTGACGTACGCGTGTGCTCCTGACGTACGCGTGTGCTCCTGACGTACGCGTGAGCTCCCTGATGTGTGCATGTGCTCCTGACATACGCGTGAGCTCCCTGATGTGTGCATGTGCTCCTGACATATCCGTGAGCTCCCTGATGTGTGCATGTGCTCCTGACGTACGCGTGAGCTCCCTGATGTATGCATGTGCTCCTGGCGTACACGTGAGCTCCCTGATGTGTGCATGTGCTCCTGACATACGCGTGAGCTCCCTGATGTGTGCATGTGCTCCTGACATACCCGTGAGCTCCCTGATGTGTGCATGTGCTCCTGACATAACCATGAGTTCTCTGCTGTGTGCATGTGCTCCTGACGTACGCGTGAGCTCTCTGATGTGTGCATGTGCTCCTGACGTACCCGTGAGCTCCCTGATGTGTGCATGTGCTCCTGAAGTACGCATGAGCTCCCTGATGTATGCATGTGCTCCTGATGTACCCGTGAGCTCCCTGCTGTGTGCATGTGCTCCTGACATACCCGTGAGCTCTCTGATGTGTGCATGTGCTCCTGACATACGTGTGAGCTCCCTGATGTGTGCATGTACTCCTGACGTACGCATGAGCTCCCTGATGTGTGCATGTGCTCCTGACGTACCCGTGAGCTCTCTGCTGTGTGCATGTGCTCCTGACATACGTGTGAGCTCTCTGATGTGTGCATGTGCTCCTGACGTATGCGTGAGCTCCCTGATGTGTGCATGTGCTCCTGACGTACCCGTGAGCTCCCTGATGTGTGCATGTGCTCCTGGCGTACACGTGAGCTCCCTGATGTATGCATGTGCTCCTGACGTACCCGTGAGCTCCCTGATGTGTGCATGTGCTCCTGACGTACATGTGAGCTCCCTGATGTGTGCATGTGCTCCTGACGTACGCATGTGCTCTCTGCTGTGTGCATATGCTCCTGACATACGCGTGAGCTCTCTGATGTGTGCATGTGCTCCTGAAGTACGCATGAGCTCCCTGATGTGTGCATGTGCTTCTGACGTACCCGTGAGCTCCCTGCTGTGTGCATGTGCTCCTGACGTACCCGTGAGCTCCCTGATGTGTGCATGTGCTCCTGACATACGCATGAGCTCCCTGCTGTGTGCATGTGCTCCTGACGTACCCGTGAGCTCCCTGCTGTGTGCATGTGCTCCTGATGTACCCATGAGCTCCCTGATGTGTGCATGTGCTCCTGACATACGCGTGAGCTCTCTGATGTGTGCATGTGCTCCTGACATACGAATGAGCTCCCTGATGTGTGCATGTGCTCCTGACGTATGCGTGAGCTCCCTGATGTGTGCATGTGCTCCTGACATACGCATGAGCTCTCTGATGTATGCATGTGCTCCTGACATACGCGTGAGCTCCCTGATGTGTGCATGTGCTCCTGACGTACCCGTGAGCTCCCTGATGTGTGCATGTGCTCCTGACGTACCCGTGAGCTCTCTGATGTGTGCATGTGCTCCTGATGTACGCGTGAGCTCTCTGATGTGTGCATGTGCTCCTGACATACGCGTGAGCTCTCTGATGTGTGCATGTGCTCCTGATGTACGCGTGAGCTCTCTGATATGTGCATGTGCTCCTGACATACGCGTGAGCTCTCTGATGTATGCATGTGCTCCTGAAGTACGCATGAGCTCCCTGATGTGTGCATGTGCTCCTGACGTACGTGTGAGCTCTCTGATGTATGCATGTGCTCCTGAAGTACGCATGAGCTCCCTGATGTGTGCATGTGCTCCTGAAGTACGCATGAGCTCTCTGATGTGTGCATGTGCTCCTGACGTACGTGTGAGCTCTCTGATGTGTGCATGTGCTCCTGAAGTACACATGAGCTCTCTGATGTGTGCATGTACTCCTGACGTACCCGTGAGCTCCCTGATGTGTGCATGTGCTCCTGAAGTACACGTGAGCTCTCTGATGTGTGCATGTGCTCCTGACGTATGCGTGAGCTCTCTGATGTATGCATGTGCTCCTGAAGTACGCATGAGCTCCCTGATTTGTGCATGTGCTCCTGACGTACGTGTGAGCTCCCTGATGTGTGCACGTGCTCCTGAAGTACACGTGAGCTCTCTGATGTGTGCATGTGCTCCTGACGTACGCGTGAGCTCTCTGATGTGTGCATGTGCTCCTGACGTACATGTGAGCTCCCTGCTGTGTGCATGTGCTCCTGAAAGTTGTGTGTACCAGCTCCTCTAGTGGCCATGGGGGGAACTATAGAGCCTCACTCAGAGCATCACTAACCAAGGTCAGTATCACTCTCATGAAGAAAGTCACTAATCATTGTTGAAAAGGCAAGGCAACAGCAAGACTTGTGCAACCAGTCTGCTTTGGATTTTTGCACCAGGCCCCAACTTCAAAGCCCATTTAGTAGCGTCGACATAATAGCTCTTGGATCACTATAATGTCTTTTTGAAACATACTCCAGTCTTTATATTCTGACAACCTATTTCTTAAAATGAAAAACAGCTGGGTACCAGTGGTTCCCACCTGTAATTCTTGCTACTCAGAAGGCTGAGATCTGAGGATTGTGGTTCAAAGCCAGCCTGGACAGGAAAGTCCATGAAACTCTTATCTTCAATTGACAACCAAAAAAGGCAGAACTGGAGCTGGGGCTCAAGTGGTAGAGAACCAGCCTTGAACAAGAAAAGCTAAAGGAGAGTCTCCTGCCCTGTGTTCAAGCCACATACTGGCATACACACACACACACACACACACACACACACATTTTTTACTTGTTAAATGCACACTAATTTATTTACTTTCATGCTGCACAAATCTATTGACTAGTTACTTAACAAGTACTCTTCATGTGCCAGGCTTATTGAGGGCCTGCAGGAAGGAGGTTTATGTTTTCATAGGGACAGAAAACAAGTCTGAGAAGTGTTAGTTGTAATGGGCTGTGGCAGGGCTGGAAGGTGCGGAGGCTCCTGCCGAGGCCTGGCAAGGCTGATGGTGGTGACTTGTACTTGTGATGTGTTGGGAAGAGCAAGGCTGGAAGTAGATGGAGATGAGATTGGAGAAAAAGCCAGGTGAGACTTTGGGCCTGGAAAGCCATAATGGGCTGGTTTTTTCTCTGAAGAAGAGAGGAAGCCATCGGGAGGATTGGGCATACTGATTCTGTGCTCAACTCAATAGGAAAGTGACCCTCTGTTCCCTGGAGGTGGGAGAGCAAGCAGGAAGGGAGGTAGGGACACGGGGCTATTTGGAGTCATGTGTGGGACACACAGATGGTGTGTGAAGAGGGGGACATGAGGTATGCGAGGAGTCCCAGACCCGGAATCTGACTCGTGCTGTTAGGCAAAACAGCACCGAATGGGAAGTGAGGGCAAAAATCTCTTGTTTAAAAACAGAAGTGTAGGGGCACATAACTATAGTTCTGTCCTTTTGAAATGCAGAAGAAGGAGGACATGGACTTTGAGGCCAACTTGAGCAAAGTTAGCAGCAAAAACTTATCTCAAAGACAAAAGTACAGACGAAAGGCCTGGGGATGTGGCTCAAGTGGCAGAGCCCCAACCTAACACGCGCTATGCCTTGGATCTCTGGTACTGACTAAATAAGTAACACGCATGTATACATGTACACACACACACAAAAAAAAAACAAAATATAATTTTCAAAAGTGATTTCTCACTTACAAATAGCATAGTTTTCTAGTGTATTTGGTCTGGAATCAATGAGTAAATGATCTCTTTTTCTGTTTATAAATTGAAATTCCTAGTTAGCAGTGCCTTTTATCTCTCTGGGTTTTAATTTTTGTTTTCATGATTTCATCAGGACAAGGTGTAGTCTTGGAGCGGTCCATCTACAGCGACTTTGTCTTTCTGGAGGCGATGTACAAGCAGGGTTTCATCCGAAAGCAGTGTAAGTTCTGACATGCGAGCTCCATGCTGTATGCACAGCTCCATGTGCAGACATGCTTCTGACGTACACGCAAGCTCCCTGACGTGCACACGAGCTCCTTGATGCATTCATGTGCTCCCTGATGCATGCATGTGCTCCTGAAGGGCGTGTGCTCCAGCCTCTGTAGTGGCTATGGGGGCACTGTTCTCTGAGTGTTGTAGGAGAGGTTGTTACCTAGAGACAACACCATGGCTAACCACATTTCTACAGGGAAGACGGAGCTCCCTCCCATCTGCCCTCTTCCCTCACCTTTCCCTGTGGATGGAAGCCCAGATGCTGGACAATAGATACCCCACAGCTCCCACAACCATCCCTAAGAATCAGCCCCTCACCTTTGGCCCTGCAGGACTTTGGATTGTCCAGCAGGATGGAACTGAGATGTCTTACTTCCCCTGTGCCAGCCCTGTGTGTTGCCAATATCATCCTCTCTGATAGGAGGTGGCTGAGGGCAGTTGGGAGATGCCCCCAGTCTGTCATCTCTGTCTGCACTGGTCTCTAAGTGCCGCCTCTTTTTGACCCTGTTGTACCTGTGCATCTGGAGCCCTCAGAAAAAGGTTCCATGGCCTCTGGAAAGCCATCCTATGCTCACACCTAGAGTGTGCACACATAACATGGCTCCTGGAAGGTGTCCCATGCTCACACCTA